CCAGAGAATTCCAATCATGAGATAAAGAGATAAATGTGAGCGAGTTAACTTGAGCTATTGAAATATGCTGGTAGGGGAAGAAGCCATGAAAATATCCTTTTTTCTTCTTTAAAAATAAACACAGGTTATAACACAAATACGGTGAGTGCGGTTTGATCCCCAGCCCCACTGTCTTGATACTCTCAGTTACAGAGATTTTGTAGCTAAAAAAGGCTCGGCATTGCTTAGTCTTTCTTTTGGTTTGATGGGTCACTCTTAGGTCTTAGTGAAATAAGAGAAGCAAACTTGTAAATGAATTGCTCTGGAATTTCTGTCTGACGTATGCATTTTCTTTTATTTCATTTTTGCATTGAAAAACATTACATTTCTGTTTCCTTATAGAGTAGTGTATCAAGAGCCTGTGTATGGCAATAAATTGCTGCAGGTATGAAATCCCGGCTGGTGGAAAAACTCATCACTATTGATTGTGGGTTTGCTGTGAAATCCTACTAACAAGACAATTGCGGGGAGGGGAGATGGTCTCTAACATAGAAGGAGGAAAGACTTAACTGAATTTTCCAGTTTTGATGTGAATTCTTCTAGAAGAGAGATGCTCATCATGAAATGTTTCCCTCTTTGCTAGATTGTGTGTCAAAAGGTCTGGCTTGGCTCTTCATTTCTTGGCTTAAAATGTATCTGGCTTCAATGACTATAAACTCAGTGAAAATAATTCAAGGGTTTCATTGAACCAATTGTCGGAAAAAAATTTTTTAGTAGGTTCCTGGAGTCAACTGGGATGGTTAAACCAAAAAGCCTTTTATACATCCAGCATTGAGGGTCAGCATAGCTAACATAACTTCCCCTGGTTTCATTGTAGCTTCTTATAAATTTATTTCACAACTTTTGCCGTAGCTCTGAAACCTATTTCCCACTGCTGAAGCAACACCCAAATGAACGAACTTGTAGGAAGGAAACAGAAAAAAATCAACACATCCATCGAAGTGTAGCTTGGCTAGGTCTAAAACCAACATTAAAACTGTCAAATAAAAGGAAAGAGGAATGAAAACTAATGATCAGTGGGAGTTTTATTACATGGGTTTCCCTGTGACCTGCATCCTCGTTTTGGTTCAGTATTAAGTCAATTAAGAAGGTACTTTTTTTTTTACTGTGAGATTAATCAAGTTTTAATAAGAAATCTAATATAAAAAATGGGTACTTGGACCTAGGAGAGGACCAAATAGTTAAAATTCCTGACATCAACTTTTATGTTCACTTTCTAAGAAAACAGGACTTCTATTGCCATATTTCAAAAATAGCTGAACATATGCAGATAAAAGAGTAATGATTTATATTTATGTTTTACATTTTGCAAATGTTCTTTAAATGTCATTATAGTGAATCAATTTTATGTATATTATTAATCCACCTGTTTTAGACAAAGTGAGATCCTTGGATGTTCTCAGAAAGGAAAAGCCCTACCCAATCCCTGTGTCCCCACCAATGACAAAAATTTTACCTCGCTTCCTAAGCAATTCGCCGTTCGGATATTTGAACATCTTTTTCCAAAAGTATGCTCTCAAGTTTAAACGTGTGATTTCCGTTGTCAAAACACTCTGTGATGCAGTGGAGAGCCACAGGGCTCATTGATAATGCTTTACAAAGTTCCACAAATGAGTATCCAGTTTCGTTTCACTCAGCATCTCCCAAACCTGTTTGGTCATGAAACCTTGCCCTTCCCTGCCACTATGAATACGCCACCAAGCACAATTTTGAAAATGGTTCATTGGTGTATCATTAAAGGTCCTTAGTTGATAACTTCCCCCAGTGGACCTCCAGAAGTCTTGCTAACAAAGGAAGTGTTTCTGACCATGTGAGTCAGTATCTCCCATGGCCGCATCTGGTGGCGGTGGCCAGGTTGAGAGGGGAGATCCATAATGACATTTAAAATGTGTATGTTCTATAAGTTCACACTTGTATTTTGCTGCCTAGCATGTGAAAGTGAGTACATTTTGTGAGTAGGGAGTGTAGACCATTTTGTGTTTGTCATCCCTTTTTTACCTTTGGTTTGGTGGTGGGAAAAATCTACTTGTCAAGGATGCATTTTTTTGTCCTAAGGTCTGGGAGGACCAGTTTCAATGTGAACGTGGTTTGGTGATCGCAAATAGGAGTGAGTGCTTCTTTTTTCAGACATTACTCCAGAACCTTGCAGAAGCTTTGGCTATGCTCAAGGAGCTGCAAAATATAGGGCAATAAAACTGATTAGAGGCACCTGTTAGAACGGCTAATTAAAGCAATTTGTATTTTTTTTTATTACTTTGCAGTGTATGAACACATATACGGAGTTAATACACAACTCTGGTTTTCCCCTTAAACGGATTTCATACAGAAGAAAAATAGCGAACGAAGACAATGCAGTATATAAATGTGGTGACACCCAGCCATCCAGTCCTTTTCTTTTTCCAATTATTACGTATTTCAGGGATCACTTAGGCCTGGACTGTCCAATACTGTAGCCACCAGCCCCATGTGGTTGTGTACATTTAAATTCAAATGAACTCAACTTAAAGAAATCAAAAACTCCATTTGGTGTACCAGCCACATTTCAAGGGTTCAGTAGACATTTAGGACAAGCAGCTACCATACTGGACAGCAAAGATATAGAACATTTCTGATATCATCAGGTCTGCTGGACAGCAAGAAGATCACTGACCAAGGTCAAAATCTCTCCACTGGTTCCACAGACTTCAGCAAACTATGACCTTGACTCATGAATCAGGAATACTTGTAAACACATTCTTAAATAACAAAGATAAGTGTCAGGACATTGACCACTTGTGCCTGTCTTGCATGGAAACACACATTTATTTTCTCTAAATGGCCAAGTCATTATGCAGACATACAGAGGATGGATCTTTCCTGAAGCGTCATAGATAAGTCCCTCTGAAGGATCCCAGGTGTACACACATCCGTTTTATATTCATGCAATAAGTATCAACCTAATAGTCAGTGAGGTTTGTTTTAGGTGTATTCTATTTGCACTGCCACAGTTTTTCCCACTTATCAAACTTGCTACCTACTTCCATTGACGGAAAACACTGCAGAAGTTGGGGGAGTCCTACAGAGTTCAAAGAAGGTTTGCAAACAGGACGTGGCCAGAAATCTTTACTGGGACCAAATTCACAGTCACCAAGGCATGACTGATTGACACGGAACTTGATGCAAAGAACTTTGCAATAACTTTTCTTTTCTGTTCTGGAAGTGAAAGAAAAAACACACACTCAAACTTTCTCCATTCAGAGCTTTCAGCTAAGGCCTCCTAGCAATCAGGAAACCAATGCCAGCCCCTCCCTTCCTCATTAAGTTCAGGAACATACATACCTGCAGACCTGTGTCTTTTATGGCTGCGTGATGAAAGCTGAAGAGATGGGCAAGCAGATGAAAAGAATGGCTCCAGAAATCTGGTGACCCCGATTTTCCCTCAGCCCATCGGTCTGTATTCCTCAGCGCATCACTCTGTATCTGGAGCTTGGTGCTGGGTGTGACAATTGCTTTGGTTTTCCATCTCCTCAGCACATTTAATGAGTTTCTCCGTTCCTAATTAGAGAACATGGTGTTTGGAACACCAGGTGGTATCTGGCTAAGACCTCTTTTTTTAACTTTCACATTGTTTTTCAAGGGAGACTTTTTTTTTTTTTAAATACTGGCTCCAAATTATTGGTGATTATCTGTCAGCATGTCTTGGAGGTATCGTCTCTAGCATGATCCAAAGAAGGAACTTGATTAAGGAGAAACTAGCTTTTTGGAATTGCTGTGTAAGTGATAGCGACGCTTCTTGCAATTTTCTCGTTCATCTGTTTTCTATCCTATACCTGGAGCCAAATATAATGAACTCCTTCACCCAAAACCCTACCATTAAATCCCCCCATTACACCAGTTATTTATGCTGTTAGATGCCCTCTGACATCGCAGTCTGTCCTGAATTGCCCCTCTACAGTGAGGGTGAGAACCCTTCTCCCAGAGGATTATGGGACTATGTATTCTAATTAGAACCTGAATGGTCCTGTGTTATCGGTGGAGACTGGATCCTGCTTGTTAACTGTGCTGAAATCATTCGACAGTGGTTGATGTATCGCTGTGGTCTGCTGGGCAAGGAGCTCTGTTATTTTCACAGTTTGATAATCAATGCTCCACTGAACGCAGTTCCTTTAGAATATGCCCATTTGTTTGTCCTCTGCTTAACTGAACAATTGCAATTACTGGTACATACAACTAAATGTTAATTATTTTTCTCAGATTTTTTTTCTCTCCTAATGATTTTATTTACAAATTGGAAGGCTTTATATTTTCCACACCGAACAAATTCTCCATCTGAACCAGTGTGATATCTTTAGCTGAAAAGACAGAATTTTTAAGTGCTCACCATTCCTCTTTTTAATCATTACGTGATATGTAGAAAGCTGGAGACAGTCTTCTTTAACTGCTTTAGTGGAACAACTACACGTGCAACAGATGGCTAATACACTTTCAATCAAAGGGTTATCTTATTTTTTTTAATAAATATCAAAGTGAGACGGCAGGGCATTAGCTTGACCAGTATTGCATTTTTAAGGAAGTAATCAAAGATTGAATAAAATGTAAGTTAATAGCTGATAAGTAAAGGTAAAGCATACTCATTTTTGAAAATCTGGAAAGTTCAGCAAAGCATAAAGAGCATTTAAATAATTCCCCATAATCCTCCCCACCCCAAAACAATTACCATTAATTAACATGTAGGTACATCTCTTTCAAAGGGTCTCTGGGTTGTCCCTTTGGGATATGCTTACAACTGCTAACTTTTAACATCCAGCTGGGGTTGGTGGTCCGCCCCCCGTCTTTCTGGCGTGCTTCCGTACTACGCTTTCATTAACCTCCACTTTAGTTTGTTAGAGGTGGGTAACCACTGTTCTGATGTGGCCTCACAATCGGGCACCCTGAGTTGGCTTCCTCTGCGTTCCTAAGTCCCCTTTCTCCTTGTGTTTCAGGGTGGTTACGCTGCGTATCGCTACGCCCAGCCCACCCCTGCCACCGCTGCTGCCTACAGTGACAGGTAAGGGCCTTCCTTCTCACGCTTGACATTTACCTGGAAATTAACTTAACACGTGGGAGATGAGATTCTCGTCTGGTTTTGGTGCAAATGCATGACTGCTGGGGAGGCAGCACCCCAAAAGTTAGGTCTCATGGTGAAGGTCAACAGGGGGCCACAGAGAGAGAGGATGCACAATGACGCCTAGCTCATTCTAAGCACTCGCCCTCTCTGCTGAGACACAAAGATAGTGATACATTTTGTCCGTGCATAGTTGTTTTCCTGATCTCAATTCCTGTGACAGCACACCTTGCATGCACAAAGTATACTCCCTGTACCAACCTTCTCATGGTCTTCTCTGTAAGACCCTGGTTTCATCTAATGCATAGGACAAAAACCAGGAGACGATCCTGCAGGTTTACCTCGATTTTCAGCACCCCGTTTCCCTTTTTTTTTTTTTTTTTTTTTTTTTTACATCTTTGTACATCCAGGAAAGCATTCCCCTTATTGCATTTTTTAATCCAAACCAAAGGGACGGGGGAGGTGTATCTGGCATTCATAAGGAGAGTCGTTCTTTTTGGCAACGCCCAATGACCGTATGAACAGAAGCCAACATTTATTTGTAATGCACACCACATGTTAAGACTGGCAGCGGAAGGGTTTAAGAAATGCAGAAGTCAGAATTGGATGTCGGGGGTAAAGGCTGGGGGATGGAGGAGCTCTATTACGCGTTACCCAGGCTTAACAGATGACTCGGTTTCTGAAATGGCAAGCCACAGCTATTTTTGTATAAGTGCTTTGAAAAAAAAAGTGTGCGTTTCCATATCGAATGCAAATCGTTGGCTCTGTTTTCTGAGGACATAAATGTGAATGTTCAGATGCTCTGCATGCACAAATGTCATGGAGGGTGCTTATTTTGGGTAATGACTCCTTTAATTTAAAAATATGTTTCATGAATAAAACAGTAATGGTACCAATTTGCATGTGTGGCTGAGGCATGCTGGGTCCGACAGGTAAGCAGGCGATGTCTTGGACTCGAGAATGGGGAGTGTCGGCAGACACTGGTTCTCCTCCCTGGCCTCTTGTGACTCAGTCCTTATCTTGGTTTGCTGTGGTATGCTTTCTCTGCAGTTCCATTCCATTTCTCACAAGGTGTGTCGTTAGCTCACTGTAACTACAGACTTCTTCTGAGGTATACTAAAGCAAAAGAAATTCCTGAACCCAAAAAGCCTCACTTTGAAAACCCCCGGCCTAAACTTGTAATAAAACGGCTCTTTGGCAAGATAGAATTGAGATCTGTTGTCTGAATGTATGCAGGTATTATTCCTGTTTTCTTATGAACAGCCATCACGAGCTCTCAAGGCTGGAGGGAGCTTCCAGAGGAACCCAAACTATTGTCAATGTGCAGTTCTAATTGCCTAAATTACCCAGTTACCCAACCATCAGTTGCCAGGATGCAAAATATGTCTTATAGAAGTTGCTGTCTTCAATACACTTTGACACTAGATTAGGGAAATTGAGAGGGTCAAAAAAGCTAATAAAAATGATGACAATCTTGAAATCCTCAAGATCCTTCTACAAATGAAAAGACTTAATGCTATTAAATTCTGCACACTGAAGATTCACAAAGTATCAATTGTAATGTGGTTCATCTACAACCCTTAATTATTTTTATGAAAATATCTCTAGATGCTAAATTCTCCAACACCCACTCTCTATATAATTATAATCATAGTAACTTTAGCCTGCTGCATAATTATAAGAATCTTAAACAGATTTATGTCTTTGGATTTTTTATCTTGCTTCTCAGTATAAGTGCATCTATGCCCAAGCTGAAAAAAAGGTTAATTACAAAGATATGATTTAAATTGTTTTCTTTAATAAAACCAATCTAGACATTTGGAAAATAAAAAACAATGTTTAATACTATTCTTAGATAGAATTACTTGAGAATCTGGCCATCTCTATTTGCATTCATCTTAAAAATTAACATTTTGCTGCATTTGGGGGCACCATATATGCAAATGTATTTATGAAATCTGTCGTTTTAATATTATTAAGATTTCTCACCGGCAACATGTCCTACTGAAAAATTGCCCTCATTCTTGGTTTGGTAAATCTTGACTAACTCTGCAATTCCCACTTTGGTGTAATAGTTTCAGTTGAAGAAACCAACTAAATATACTCTTGTCCATATAATTGGCCTCTTGCTGTTCATTAAAGAAACTTGCACATTAGGTCTTTTTGGTTGCTGAGGCAATTGATTGCTAGCCCTGTTTCACTTTGTTATAAGCAAGACACTTGCCACGTATGGAAATATTGCATTGAGGGAAATGCAGTAATAGGTAAATTACCAGAAAACAATCTTTAAAGTGATGTTTCTGGTTTGATTTGTAAAGTGTATTTATGAAATGGTGGTACTTCCTTTTATTTTTAGTAAGCAGGTAAAGAGAAGGAAGACCCTTTTAGAGAAGACACATATTTGGGGGAAAATGTGAAATGATCAGAATAGCTTTCGAATCTAGATTAAGATGCCAATTATCTAGAATTATCTCAGGGCAGCTGTGTAATCATTTCTTTTTACTCAATCACAGTGTCATATCAGTAGGGAGAGACTCTTAGTTCCTACTTTCTAGAAGAAAGGCAGGATGACAAAGAGAAAAGCTTCTTAACCCAAAGAAACTCCTTCAAAATAGGAAGTAAAATCGGCAGGAATAGAGAATGTTTGGGTCACGCTCACTGGCTGTCAACTTGATCAAAAGAGAAGCTGCAACAAACTTTCTCTCTAATCGTGAGATTCACTCTTCAGACATCTTGAAAGGGGAAGAAGTTTGATGTCCCCAGTCGGTAGAATTTTACCTTTTATCAGCACAAATTAAGCCCTCATCAAATTAAAGATTCAGGGGCCTTTGGAAAATCTTGAACTCCAGTAGCCTCAGGACTGGCCAGAACGTCCTTGACGGCCACCTTGCAACTCCCCACCCAACATCTTCTTGGTTAAATGATCACATGCTGATTATCTCGGAGTACCCTGAGAGTTTCTGAATGCTGACCTCCAGAATGAAGACCGTCTGGTGTGGGCAGAGATTTCCCCCAAAGAAAAAGACCTGACTGGACTAGGTAATTTTATAGTCTTATTGATGAATTGAATGACAATAGGCAAACATCTTTCCTTGGCATTTAGGAAACATTTGGTAAGCCTTTGACCTCACCTCAAATCTTTACTTCAAATCTCACTTTGATTTGTGGAAAGCCAACTGTCCGAACTCTCAAGGGAGATGGTTTTCTGAGCTTGAACCAATCAAAGCATGGCAGTGGGGCCAATGGTCATCTGGTCATTGCATGCCACTTGGTGTTGCTGATGTGTTCGTGGTATGTTCTGGATTTGACAGGTCCATCATCACAGTAACTCAGTGAATGGCTTGCTTGAATTAAGCCTGGGGACAGGCTTCTCTTTATTGATTGGCTTTCGGTTTCTTTGTGTCCACGACTTGGTCCTTGTTGCATCTTTGAGCAGCCAGACTGGGAGGTGGAGGGGTGGTGATGGGGGGAGATTTCCTTTTCCATGAATTTTGCTACAGATATTTGGGTAAATATGTCTGATGTGTACACTGCTTTGATGAAAATGTTACTGTGCCAAAAAGGCAGACATTTGTCATGCTTGTCCTGCTTGCTAAACATTCTAACATCCCCTAACAACCAGTGCATGGAAACGGCCCTCCACATTAGGGCAGAAGGGAACTCAATTCAGACCAGCTAGAGGAGAAGGTAATAAAGTGGTTCACTCCAAGATTTCACGACGATCCAGTTGCCCTGATAGTTACCCTGGGCCACTGTTTTCATATAAGACATGCATTTCCGTAAAGATCCCTGAAAGTTAGCAGCTTCTGACATACAGTAGTAGTCCTGGCCATACAGGTGCCCCTAGACTGAGCAAAAGAGACAGCAAGCCACAGGTTTCTGTTTGTTTTATTTTCTACCCTTTTTTGTTTGTTTTTTGAGACCTTTAACTTTCATCAGCAATGTTAGACTGTACCATGTGAAATTTCTACCTTTGTGTGCCCCACATGGTGCACTACTGGCAATTTCGTATAGCTCAGCTTAATGGAAACCCAATTAAAATGCCATAATATCAATCATCGTGCTCTCTGCACTTGAAATACATATATGTATGGTCATACACATATATGTGTGTGTTGTGTATATATATTATTCATATACATATGTGAAAAATATATGTATACACAACACATAGACGCACACACACACACACTTCTGCCTTAAGACCTCATGGAGGACTCATAACAGTATCTAGGTAAATCTTAATACAAGGAGGTCAGGACTTGTCAAGTTCAGCCAGTCGCAAGCCCCATGCTAGAACATCTATTAAATGCGATACTACAACCTATGAATAAAAGGTTCTATCTAAGAGAGAAATAGATTAGTAGTTCTTTCTTAAAACTCAATAGGAATAAGTAGTCATGTCTTTGGAGTCATGGAGAGGTTGATCTGTAGATCAACTATTTAAAATTATATGGGTGGTAGGGATGGATGGATACATACATGCATAGATGGGTGGATGGATAGATGGATGGATGGATGGTTAGAAAGGTAGATAGATGATAGAGAAATAGATACGTAGGTGGTTAGGTGGATGAATGGAAAGAAAGGGAGAAGAGAGAAAAAGGAAGGAAGGGAGGGAAGGAGGGCAGAAGGGACGGAGGGAGGGAGGAAGAATGGAAGAAAAGGAAAAGAGAGAAAGTGAGCGAGAGAGAGAGAGAGAGAGAGGAAAGAAGGAAGGAAAGAAAGAAAGAAGGAAGGAAGGGTGGACAGATAGGAAAAAACTATCATTTCTATGCTCTTATAATATTTCATCATAAGCTAAACTACAGGACGTAGAACTAAATCCTTACTCACAACCTTAGTTTGATCTAAACTGAAAAACTAAAGGGGTTTGAGTTGATTTCCATTTATGTGGGTACTCTCTCTACTTTAGGACTTTTGACGTCCTGGATTTAGATTAA